TCAACAAAGTTTCACTTTTTTTTTATTTTTACATTCAGAATATTGCTTTAAAAATTCCATTTACAAGACAATTGTTTATAATAAAATTCTATTCAATCGATAGACTCATAACGATTGAAAACAATGTTTTTGTTTGAGTTAGGTTTTGACCAATTCGTAAAAAAAAAAAAAAAATAATTAAGACATGCGTGTCCGTCAACCTTAAACAATAATCTTTCTCAATTTTATTTTTCAGTCTTTATGATGATCGATACTTGATCTATCTCTTACTGTTACATCCCCGGGCAACGCCGGGTTCTACTGCCAGTCAGATATTGAAAAACACCGCTTTATACTATCCACTATACTATTTCTCTATACTGATCATTATACGAATTACTATTCGGTGATTACTATTTGAACAAGTGTTATTAGTGCGAATATTATTTGAAGGTCTTACTACAACCAGTATCTGCGTTTACAAACTATTTCGGAAGTGATAACGAACATATTCGTTGATCTAACGGAAGTGACAACGCGTAATGTGATTTCTGACAAATATATCCGATTGATTTTTTAAATCATTTTGCCCAAAGCAAGGCGATAAAAGCCACTAAAACACGTGGAGTTAATGATAATGAAAGAAATAGGGAGATCAATAAAGGAACAGGTTTTATTGACTGATTCGTTTTCTAAGTCTTATCAACTCTTTGTAGGTTATTTAAAGCCAGAAAATATTTTTAAATTGTAAGATTTATTTTTAGATAATAATGGTATAGTGATGCAACTCTTACTAATTAACCCATAGCCGGGGTGGAGAATAGGGGGATTCATACCTTTCGCAAGGGTTTTTACGCCTAAGTGAATAAAATGAACCCAATGGGATTGGAATTCGGCTCTCCGATTAACAATTCCGAGCCATTATTTATTACACCACCCTCAGATTAAAGCTTAGAGCACTTGGTATTCCAAAGGATTCACCCATCTAGATGCTGACCAGGCTCTTAACTTCGGTGATCGCATAATAGAACAGGATTCAAGGGAACAAAAGATGACAGTTAACATTGCATTTAAATTTTTGAAGATTGTAATTGACAGGAGAGCAAGAAACCGGATGTAGGTTTCAAAATCGCGAGAAGGAACTAAAAATTTCACTATCAGTCTGAATGCTGAAATTCCAAAGGATGGTAACCTTGTCATTCTGTACAACTTGTGGTGGCTTATTGTTACGTACGACGGATAGCAAAAAAAAAAAAATATGTCCTCCGAGTAGGGAGTTTATTTTTCTTTAAGGGTTTTCCAGATCGCCACTTGTTATGTGTGACGTATAGCAAAAAAATAAAAATAAAAATAAAAAAAAGCCCTCCGTGTATAGAGTTTGTATTTCCTCGTCGCCACTGTTATGCTGTGGCAAACGAAAAAAATTTTTTTCTTCCACCGAATGAGTTCGAATCGCTCGTCGCCACTGTTATGGTCCGGTTCCTTGTACCACGGTGATAGTCCAAGGTAGAACCAATAAAGATGAACTCGAAGGCGGATATGGAATAACACAGATATACTACAAACAGGAATATATACAGAGAGGTAGAAAAGTGTCAGTACGAACAATCAGGTTTAGTAGTAATTGTCTGAACGGGACGCGGTTTCGGTCTGCCTCTGACTCGACTGACTGACTCGCTCGCTCTGACTGACTGACAGACTCCTGACGGACTTCACTCCAGACTTCAGACGGAACTCCAGACTTCAGACGGAACTCTGATTTCAGACGGAACTCTCTGCTTCATTTTGAGGCGCAGTATTTATTACGTAAGAAATAGTCCATTATGTTATTATGGGTAAGGTCCCATAACACTTATGTTCCCACCAATTCTTTTAGCGAGGGAGGTTGAATGCGCGGCTTATTGACTAATTTCTATACTGAGCAGCCCTAAACTGCCGTTGCAAGTACTCTGTTGATGGCAGTTAGCCTCACGCATATATTATTATCATTATTTGAACAGGTTGAGTTTTTGCATTTGTAATATCTGTTGACTCTCGCTGGAGGCCAAGTGACAGTAAATCTCTTTATTAAATCATTATTCTTTACAAAAGTAATAAAGCCGTCGTCTGCATTGTTTCATTTCTTTACATATTTTCTGTTGTTTCAATATTTACTGAATATCGTCCCCGATATGTAATATACAGATTGAGTTGTCTCTTTTGCTTCCAGCCATGCATTCCGACGATTACTTGGATAATTATTATTGCATGCACTTGTTGGTTCGAAAGTTGTCTGGTGGTTATCGCTGGAAAGTCTCCTCCTTTGAATTTTTCTTAGTACCCTTCCAGTTTTTTTGTTTAGAGATGAAAGCAGAAGCCATAGACGGCGTTATATGAACCTTGCTCAAAAGAGACTCAGTTATAAGTGGAAAGTCAGGCAAATATAGTCCAGATGTATCAATAGAATTTGAAGGAAATTTACGAGCAAAGCATTCTGTTTATCAACAGAAGATGTTAAGAGCTCAAATTGTGGGAAGAGAGGAGGAGGAGGAGGAGATTTACTCTTATTTATTACACTATTACAGATCCGCTAGTAGTCACTAGAACGAAAATTATTAGCGGCTATACGGAGCCTTGTTCTCTCAGCAAACAAAATCTTAGCCTCCTTGAGGACACGTTTACAATTATTGCGAACTGACGTAATAGTCGTCTGTTGTCATTGGAACCTTGATGCTGGTATACCCAGAAAATTGTGGCGTCTATAGCGGTTGAAGAGGCCGGTGTGAACCAAGGAGAATATTGAGGTTTTAACTGGAAATATAAGAGAAAGTATAAACGCGTCAATACTGGCTTTAGCCCAAGAAGAAACCTCTGTGACATAATTCTCAATAGGAAGGTTAAGAATATCAAAACATCTCGAATAAAGTCACGAAATGCATCCCAATCAGTAGGCTGGTAACAAAGAAGTCTTGTGAATTGGTGGTTCCTTTCTAAAAGACTATTACAGGGATACCATCAAGTCCACATGCTTTGTAAGGATCCAGTTTAGAAATGATAGCAGAAACCATGGATGGAGTTGTATGCTTATTCCACATTAGAGATGCAGTTTTAAGTGGAAAGTCAGGCAAAGGTACTCCAGAGGAGTCATGAGTAGAATTTGAAAAGAATTTACAAGCAAAAAATTCTGCTTCCTCAGCAGATGTTAACACCTCAAATTAAGTAAAGAGAAGAGAAAGAGAAGACGTACTCTTATTTGACACACTATTACAGAGCTGCCAGTAGTCAAGTGAATCAAATTTGTTAGAATCTATAGTGTCTCACTTTGTCAGCAAACAAAGACTTAGCCTCTTTGAGGACATGTTTACAATTATTTCGAGCAGACATAAGAATCGGTTGTGGCCAGAATTATGTTGGTACAATCAGAAAAAGTGATACCTGTGGGCTATAGCAGCTGAACAAGACCGTGTGAATCAAGGAGAAGATTGTGGTTCCACCCGGTATTTACGAGAAGGTACAAAAGCATCAATGCTGACTTTAACCCAAGAAGAAACCTCTGTGGCACAATTCCCAATAGGCTTGGTTAAGAACATCAATCTAAGGGGTGTCTCGAATAAAGTCACAAAATGAATCCCAATAGGAGGTAACAGAGTCTTGTGAATTTATAATAGATGACTCAAAAGTAATATCAATAGATACAACTTGATCTGAATTGCCAAGAGGACAGAGTTGTGATTCTCTTCAAGATCTAGAAGAGGAGGTAAGGAACAAATCAAATAAAGAATAATGTGGATCAGATTTATTAAATATTATATAACAAGTAAACAGTCAGAAATTTTTATTTTTATATTTATTAAAAAGCTCTCATAAAAGTATTTAAAATAGACCAATCTCATATACGTAAGAAAAGGAATAACAATAAGGAAATTGTTAAAATAACAAAAATATGAGTCTTTTGTGAACAGAATTATGTTGGTACAATCAGAAAAAAGTGATTCCTGTGGTCTATAGCGGCTGAACAAGGAGAAGATTGTTATCTGGTATTTACGAGAAGGTACAAAAGCGTCAATGCTGATTTTAAACAAAGAAGAAACCTCTGTAGCACGATTCTCAATAGTAAGATAAAGAATAGCAATCCAAGGAATGGCTCGAATAAAGTCCCGAAATGAATCCCAATTAATCCGCTTATAGTTCTCAGTGTAGAAAAGTTCCTATTCCATGTCGTTTGGTTTTTATATTCCTGTTGGGCCTAATTACTGTCCGTATTATCTTTCTTTACATACGACTTCATTCATCTATTCATTGACTACTTCCTTTCATACTTTCATGTTTCTCAGTTCGAGTGTCTTTCTCTTTCGTTTTCAACGACACCATTCTCCGTTCAACCCAGCCCATTTTTTCAGCGAGATAATTACAAAGTTAAATACGACATTTCAAGGATAACTTTCTAGCATCGTCAGGAAATTAATGCCTCTTGAGAAAAAGGGAAGAGGTATCGAAGTTACCATGCGTTGTCGAAACCTCCAATGAATAAAGAAATGAGGTCAAGGAAAAGACAAAATGGCTTCTTTTATGTATTTGCTGAGTCACACGATTTAAGATGGCGTCATCGCTCGGTAAATGAAGTGACACAAGCATTTTAGAAATATATCACTCCCAGGTAATTATAAAGATTAACTGCATTTTATTTGGTATTTTTTAAATATAATATTTGCGAATTGTGTGACTGTGTCGTATTTAAAGCAATGGCATTTAAGTGAGGATCATGTACTCAAGATGGAGTACTTAATGAGGATTTCTGAAAAAGATCGCTGTAAAATTTCTTCAAGAAAATTTCTTCTTAATTTTGCATTCATTAACATGCCCCACTTTCCTTTGCTTTCTTGGCTGTATTTTGGCGACGTAAATGTTTTTTTTTTTCTAATGCCATTATTTTCTTTTGGTCAGAATGTGTGAAAGGAGAAAACATATTGATGGACTCAAGCAAAAAACCAATGATCATTAACAGATGGCAAGAATGAAAATAAGAGATTCGATTACAGAAACTAAAGAGAAATGGAAGAAAAAGAAAAAAAAGAGAGAATAAAAAAAGAAAAAAAGATGGAAAAAAAGGAATATGTATGTAATAGAAAGAAAAGAAAGTCAGAAACAGTTAACATAGGGAGGTGAAAACTGATATCTAAACGGTGAAAAGCAATAAACAGATAGGCGTAAAAAGAAAGAAAGAAAGAAGATAGAAAGAAAAATGAAAGAACGAAAGAAGCAGGTGAAAGATCAAAGACAGGGAAGGGCTAACTAAAAAAAAAGAAGAAGTTACAAGGCATGAGAGAGGGAGTGAGAAACGGTGAAAATAAAGAGAGAGAGTGGAGAGAGATAAAGAACATGTTACAAGGGGAAAAAGGTGAGAGTGGCTAATGGCAGAAGGTAAAAGGGTCAGGTGTAAGGTCAAAGAAAATGAGCTAGAGATGTGAAATGCAAACGAAGAGGGTTTAAGACAAGAGAAAATAAGAGGTGAGAAGAAGAAAGTTAGGTGCAAAGCCAAAGCTGGTGGGAAGGGGGAGAAAGGAAAGAAAGAAAGTATAAGAGAAAACACGGGAGTGAAAAAAATAAAAGATTCAAAAGCGAGAGAGTAAGAGAGAGATAGATAGAGTAGGAGAGAACGAGAGAGAGACAGTGTGTGTGTGTGTGAAAGAGAGAGAGGGGGAGTGAGATAGTGAGAGAAAGAGAGTGTGAGCGAGAGGTAGAGGTGGGGTGAGAGGGAAAATTGGTTGTTTATATATAAGTGTATAAGCATCTGTCTAAGTAGGCTCTTCAACGTGGTGTAGCGTCTAGCACGTATGGAAAGTGAGAAGGAAGTGAGAGAAGTAAAAGAAGATGTATGCAGAGAGAAAGAAAGAAAAAGAAAGGAAAGGTGCATGAGAAAAGAAGAAAGGGGACGAGAGAAAGAAAAAAGCAGAACCCGCAACGGGAAAGAGGAGAGAAAGAACAGACCGTTAAAGATAATGCTGTGATAGAAGTATGTAAAAGAGGAGAAAAAAAAGAAGAAAAGTAAGAGAAGGAAAAGAGGAAGAAGCGAACAGAAACAAGAAAGAAGAGAAAGATGTATAAAATAAAGGGAAGATCAAAATGCGAAAATAAAGAGGGAAGCAAAAAAGAATTGAATAAGACGCGACGACAACGTTTGATAAGGTCCCCAGTGTTTGATAAGGTCCTTTCGTCGTATCTGTTGCCACGAAGTTTCGGGCCTTTATCCGGAGTGATAACATCATTTCTCCAGTGAAGGAAACCTCACTAAGAGGTAATAGTTACAGAGACCTCTTGACAATTGCTACTGAGTAGGGAAAATTTCGCTACAAACAAAGAAAAGAAGGCTGAACTTCTATGTAATATCAATCTTCCTGTAAGACAGTAAATACGGAATATTGATTGTTTAGTTTATTTTTTACTGCTTATCAACCCTTTGGCGATTATTTAAACCCGAAACATATTTTGGCTTTTCAGAATAATAATTCTTTTATTGCAAGCGAATTTTGCATTAATAACTAACATTAAAAATAGCAATAGCAATAGAGAATAGCAATGATTTTTCTAGATACAAGTCTTAGTATTTAACCCATAGCTTGGGGGGTAGCAGCGATGGGTTAAAACTTTTCCTAAATGGTATTTGGCGTAAGTGAAATATAACGATTTCGACTGGAATTCGAAACCGGCTCGGAGATGTTTCATTCCGAGCCGCCATCCATCACACCCGTGCTGGACAAGTTTCCCCACGGATGAAGAGGAGACTTCAGGCCACAGGTCACAGAACAGTGGTTCTAAGAAGAATGCTGAGAATATTTTGAACGTAACATGTTTGAGCAACGAGGATTTTTTTTATGGATAAGAGAAACAAAACGGACACTTGCCAGAAAGAGACAGATGACATTTCTGCGAGGCATAGTGAAAAAAGAAGGCTTGTAGAATTTGTTACTCACAGGACATACTGAAAGCAAAAGAGAAGAATCAAGTAACTTACGTAATGAGCTTGTGTAAATGGATGACAGAGCAAGGACTGGGAGTGATAGTAAGAAGAGAATATTGTTTAGAGCTACAAAGGATAAGAAGTTCTGGAGAGCTATGATTGCTTACATCCTGAAGGCATATTTTTTACAATAATATTTACTCTGCACAAGACCCAAGAGCCACTCGAGGTAGAGTGTTACAGAGTAATTGGTAAGGGGCACAGTTTATGAGGATATGTGGGGAACATAACAATTATCCGTAGACTTGAACAGGTTAAGATAGTAGTTATCGAGGAAGCATCGACTTAGGTGTCGGTTCTACAAAGATTCGGTTCGCGTGAAGTAGCTGCTCGAGTGGCACTTACATCTCAAAAATGGAATATGAATGAGAGTGGGTTCGCTACAATGTGTATAGCATGAAGGTTAGCCGTGAAGGTTAGAACTGGTGGAACTAAGGAATGTAATTTGTCTAAGCACTTTCCATGGAAATAGCGATACAGCAGGGAGAAGCTTGCGACTTTTCGCCTGTGAGAAAAGGGGTTGTAGGGTGGAAAATAATTTATCACCCGCAAGGACGCGGAGGCACTTTTGGACTCTACCGAGACTGGGAAGTAAAGACTTGGCATCTCCTGTCCCTATATGGTAACAGTACTCCAGTTTGGGCCTGATTTGGCTCTTGTGAATGTTATGGATAACCAGAAGAGTCAGGTACTTACTGGAGTGGTACAACGAACCGACCAGTTTTAGCAATGGTCCGTATGTACACGTTCTACCTGAGGTTTGGGTTGAGTTTGTCCCAACAGGCGCTCAAGGCAGGCGGCTTCTTTGAGGGAACACGCATTCATCGTGTCAGCAATGATGGAACGTCAGTAGGTTGGTTTTTGAGACGAATATAACCAGCCAGTTTTCCCCCACTGATATGTTAGAGTTAGATTATAGAAGAGATCATCTACTAAGCTCTGGTCATCTATATTTTTGGAAGTGCACCCATATACCGTTGTATCATCAGTATAGATATTCATAAATGATCAGATTATACTCTTAGGCAAATAATTTATGTAAAGTAAAAAAAAAAAAGGTTGGTCCGAGAAGCGAATGTTAGGGACTCGGAGGACTGGCCTTTAACAACTACCTTCAAGGGCCTACGATTTTGGTTGGACTGAAAAGACTATTCTACTGAACTTGCGCAGTAATCGCTTATGCCACACCTTGTCAGAGGCCTTTGAAATATCTAATGCGATAGTCCTTGAGATGTATTTGTTGTCTAATGCCTCACTGATAATGTGAGTATAATGGCAGTTAAAACATAAGCAGTGGATCAGGCCGATCGAAACCCATACTGCTTGTCGCTCAATAGGTTGTTTCTGTTTAGGTGATCAACAACATTCTTGTTGATTATAGCATACAAAAGCGTGCTAATGAGACTGAGGAGACTGATGGGTTACCCCAGATATTTAAAAATTAAACATGTTAATAATGGTGCAAATATGACTTTAATGCTGTACGAAGCTGTTTGGCACAAACCCATTGCACGCATAGTATACTTGAAATAGCAGTTAGGTAAAACTTCTCACTTAGCGAAAACCTCGTTTAGCGGCTACGTACCTAAATGAGAAATATCTTGTAACTGAATTTGGTCGTTAAGTGAGGAGTTGTTGTATTCAATAATTGACATTTGCTTGTAGCCGAACACCGGCAAACGATAACAGTGATAAATACGGAATCATCTCAGCCACAAGACAGGGCTTCATCTATCTCGGTCTTCACACTTGTGGAGAGCTATGATCGCTAACAACCTAAAGGGACAGGATACACAGAAGAAGAAGAAGAAGAAGAATCCTCTTTACATTATTCGGACTGTTATCCTCATTCACAACGTTTTGTCCGTTGTACGCTCCGTGATTGGAATTTCGAACCGATCCCTTTATTTCGCCCACAGGGTAGATTGTTCTAGTTCCACGTTCCATGCCTCTTCCCAGTTATTTCCCTTTAACTCAAAATTCTCTTTTTTGGTTTTTGGTTCACCACTGTATTGAACTCACAACTCTGGGTCTAGTCACTGGATCTAACCTACGTCTTTATCCACTGGGCCATGTGTCAATGTGGATAAAGAAGCATAGACAAACTTGGGTTTATATCACGGGCCGTTTATGACTATTCTTCATAGAAACTGTTGGGAAACAAAGTCCTCAATGTTTCTTGAGTAATTTCTTTTTTCCTTTTTTGGTCTAGAAGTAAGTTAGAGTAATACTTTCATGGTAATTATTCTGATGAGCTTTCCTCTATGGTAACTAGACTTTATGAATTTAAGCAAAGTACTAGATTGGCAGCAAAGTCTCATCCTTTTACAGTTGAAATGGCTACAGATTTAACCATAAGTTTCTTCTATCGCCCTTCTCCTTTGTAGAACTCTCTCCCAGCTTCTTACCTCCCAGTCAAGTTTGATCTTCAAAAATTTAAATGCAATGTCAGTCGTTATTTTCTGTCTTCTAAATGTTTGTTCTTTTATTGTTCTCTCTCTTTAATAGTATATATCTCATATTCTCTAACACTCAGTAACGCCTCGCGTCTTAGTGGCTTTATTGCCTTGCATGCAGTGAAATGTTTTAATAGTATGTAAGGATAAGAATGGTTAAAATAGTCGAGCTCAATTCAACTCTGCGCTGAGATGGAACGACCAGATTACTTACTTTACGAGTGGAGCTGTAAAACACGTCCGGACGCTCTGTCCTTTCCGGAAGTGGGATCATAAAATTGCACAAATGGCCATAAACTTTTTCCGGTTCCTTTATTACTAGCATCATGGGAAAATGTAATTCTTTTTTTTCTTTTCTTATTCTTTATTAACAAACTATTTATTTCTTTTTTCTACAGAAGTCACACGCGTAAAGCAAGGTTCTAAATATTTTTTCTTTTTTTCTAAGAGAAGATTATTTAGCGTCAACCTACTAAGTGTTGATGCGGATTCAAATGCTAGTTTTTGCTTGATATGGAAGACTGACTAACAGTAAACTTGTTACTGATTTGCCCACCATTTCACACTTAGCAGAACAAATAGACAATTACTATAAAGCAGAGTCAAAATTCTTTACAATTGCATTCTGGGAAATGTTTATGAGGCTTCACCCTGTCTTGTGAAAGACGACAATAGTCGGAAAGCAATGAGGTTTAAAGTCAAAGTAACGGCTTCTGAATTTGAAAACACTTCACTGCGGGCGTCTTTTCTTTTCTTTTCTTTCCTTCCTTTTATTTTTCTTTCCTTGTTTCTTTCTTTTGAAAATGCTAAAACATTTTCTTTCGTACTTTTCCCTTAAATCGCTATACAATACCATGTCTTTCTTTCTCTCTTTCTTTTTATACATTATCTTTCTTTTCGCGTTGTATATCATGTCATTATTTCTTTTATTCTTTCTCTTTCTTTCTTTCTTTTTCACGTTCTTTCTTTCTTTTCCTTTTCGCGTTGCTTATCATATTTCTTTCTTTTTTCTTTTTCTTTCGTTCTTCTTTGCTTATCACATTTCTTTCTTTCTTTCTTTTTTCATGTTCTTTCTTTCTTTTTTCTTTTCGCGTTGCTTATCATATTTCTTTTTTTCTTTCTTTCTTCTTTGCTTATCACATTTCTTTCTTTCTTTCTTTCTTTCTTGCGTTCTTTTTTCACGTTCTTTCTTTCTTTCTTTTTTCTTTCTTTCTTTTTTCTTTCTTTCTTTCTCCAAAATCCTCTTTAGTATTTGACATGCTTCACTGTCAGAAAATTTCCGATAAGTGTGGAATGCCTAAACAATGCAACACGTGTTAAACCAAGACAAAATAAATACAAAACTGATATTTGGTATAAATAGCGCACCCTGTTAGGATCAGACGCAAATAATGATCTATTAATCTAGCTTGTTAACCATCACTTTGTAACAAGTGTCCCTGCGTATGGAAATCTTGATTAAACTTGGCTTATTCCAGCACCGGCTCATAAGTATATGACATTCAACAGGAATCGAACTCACTACCAGGATGTTCGTTTTTGAGACGAGACTGTTAAGTCTTAGCGGTAGGCGCTAACCAAGAGATACAAATGTCAAATTTCTCTTGTCTCTCGTCTTTATTTCACAGGGTTAAGAACAGACGATGGATGCAAAAACACATTTTTACTGATAGTATTATTGCCGAAGGATCTCAGCCTTTCGGCTTGTAACTTCCATTAAAAGACATCTGTCTCCTCTGTTGTTTTTTTTTTTTTAATCTTTTCTTCTTTTCTTCTCTTCTTTTCTTTT